CTCCAGTGATTGATAGAATTACGTTATCTGTTGAACAGTTAAAAGCATTGCATGCCTGCTGTCCAACACTGATATTTACTATCTTTGTGTATGTATTTAAAGCTCCTAGTGTAAAGATGAACCACTGACGCATTTTGTACAACCTACTGTAAGCATGAGTATATGCAAATTGTGGAAAGAAGCTGTTTCCCAGTTTGGTATCAGCTTTCTACCACACACAGGAAATAAATGGGTGTTACCGTCTATTTTGTGAATAGGTTCCTATCTTCTGGTTATTTTGAAAAGAGATGAAATGTCTGTTTTGATAGGGTGGGGAGATTCTCAAGGCTAAATGCCTACTGACAGAATTATTTCAGACAACTGAGCCATGCATCAGCAGTGGCAAATAACGTTTGTGATAAAGGAAAAGACCAGCAATTGACCAGATCCTGCTTTGTGGCAAGACTTCCTCCCAATATAACTGTAAGAGTGGAGCACTGAGACTTAACAGCACAAAGGACTAAGTCAGTCAGGTTTTGGTCTGTTACTCTTCAATAGCTAGTCTGTAACATGGCATGTGGTAAGGAGCGCCTACTGCTGAACAATATTTACATGGTTTTAAAGTATCATGCCTGGGTTTTGTGTCTGCAGAATACAATTTGTCTGGGGAAATTAAGACCTTTAATTTACACTATCTACATATTGTTTCTCATCAAAGTATTTGAGAGGAAAACATAACTGATTATAAGGATTTTGTCCATATGGCTGCATTCTCCCTTTAGAGAAACAGGAAAGTTAACATTGTGCCCTCTGAAGTTGTTTGCCAGTTATTGAGTGATTCTGACGAGCTTGCACATAAGGAGAGCAAGCATTCATCAGTTCTGCTTTACTTAGTTAGCATTTATGAATACATGCAGTGTTCATTAGAGCTGTTGCACTTTCCTCAGCAATAGACTGGGTTTTGTTCCAGTTTCTTGTGTGCTGCACTGTGGCCCAGCAGGCAGGCTGTGATCTGGAGCATGATCCTTAGACCTTTCCCAGTCGCCTGCTGCCCTCTGCTAAAGGAAGGAGCAGCTGTTACAAGCAGCAAATGTAGACAGCAAACAAACTCTTCCTCCTGCTCTCAAACCTGCTGTTAGGCTGTGACCTTACGTGAGGCTGCTGATAATACTGCAGATTTGGGTTTACCTAAAGCAATAGCTGCACCCTTGCTCTTTCTTTTCCCACTCCCTCAAGGGCAGCATTTAGTGAACCCTTAGAGTTTGGCTCAGTTTTATTATTTGCTTTTAAGCTTTGCCAGTGCCAGAAAGTGGCATCTTAGAAAGTTGCCTAAGAGGGTTTCAAAGTAGACAGGATCTGTCCAATAACATTTGCTATATCCTGAAATAAAAATTGCGAAGACTGAGAAAGCAACAACTCAAGTTGTTCCCTAGTTTGGAATGGTTTGTGTGCAGCACTGAGTTCTTCTAATGCTCATTTCTCCAGACAAATTGCAGCAAGATAAAATAAACCAACGCACCAGGGCTATCATAGTCCTAAATGTGAGATTCCAAAAAGATACTCTGCTGGCATTAGTCACTAGTGGGCTGTGGTTCATGTCACCTGCTCAGCCTAGTCCTCTCCTACAGCTCACTCCAGGGGCTTGAGTGAGACTGCCTGCAGTAACTTTTTACCAGCAAGATGAGAAGTGAAATGCCAAAAAGCCCTCACAATCAATCCCTCTTTCCATGCAACTGAGCAATGAGCAGAGTTGAACTGTGTTGGGAAAAGTGTCCCTTTATGGGATAAATGTTTGGAAAACTTCCATGCAGGTGCACTCACACCTTTGAGGGAAAAGTTCCCAGCAAAATTGAGTAGGCTAGAGAGAAGTAGAAAGCTGGGTGATCACAAACCTCTTGTCCAGCAGGTTTAATAGTAGACAACTACCATTTCCAGGAGTTTTTGTACTATCAATGTGTTTCAATCCACAGTAACTCACAGCTGCATTCCAAGGAGAAAGGAGGTGGTTAAAGGTAGGCTTTTCCTTTATCTGTAAAACCAGGACCTTGAGTCTGCTTTTTCTTTTCTTTGTAAACTTATGATCAGTTTCAAGTTTAGGTTTCAGGTAACTGTCTGTGTAGTAAAGGGTATATTTAACAAACGTTATTTGTTTTTTTCTCTCTAAGACCTTTCAAAAGTTTTGTTTGTTACTGGTTTCCTTTTGAATACTGTCTACTTCCTTAGAAATTCATTCAACTGATGGCTTCTTTAATCAATAACTGAAAAATGGTAGCTGGCTGGCCCCATTATGTGATGTTAGATGTGATTAGGAAGGATGTACAACCTATGAACTCACTCTCTGTATCAGCTGGAGTTTATGGAAAAGGAAGTGTTCAGCAGTTGAATTGGCACTCCGTCAGCTTGTTCTTTGAGAAGGTTCTATCCTTCCAAATGTGAGGGTTACGCTAATAAGCATAGCTGCTTCTAGGAACATCCTGAAATACATTTTTTAATGGAAATGTTTTGAGTAATTAATACATTCTACTTCAGAATTGTCAAACCTCTAGGTTTTTCTGAGGTTTTTTGAAGTGCTGAGGGGAAAAAAGGTTTATGACCTTAAAGCTCAGGACTGAGCCTAGATTCAGGCCCTGACTCCAAAAGAGGGATTTTGTCTGAGCAGGATCAAGGCACTGTTTCAGCTGTAAAACGGAGACAGTATTTTTTTTATCCTGTTGCATTGTCTAACCTTTCCTTCTTGTGAGTTTTGTCTGTAACTGCACATCTACTACAATTGGAGACTCTTGTTATTATCACGGTAGTTCTTTTAATAATAAAAATATGAATTTCTTTCTTATAAACTGTCAATAACGATCATGGCAATTCCCTGTTTCTGTGGTACTTTTAATCCATTATTGGTTGACCTTGTTGCATAGATTAACTTTTGGTCTTATGATACTGATTTATTGCAGTTTTCAGTCTTTCCTTTGAACAATGAGTTATCTGGTATTTTGTAAACCCAGCTAATGCCATTGCACAGGAATAAACTTATTCAGAACGAATCCTTATGTTTGCCTAACCGATTTTGTTTATGTAGGAGTTACATTTTCCTTGAATTAAACCTACAAGTATGTAACTGTAGCCTTATTTTAAGGTATTTGAGTTTTTAACTGGAATAAGATATTGGAAGATGTTCTGGGAATAGTTGTAGGCTGCTGGTCATAGTGATCCCATGACCTCTGTTTTGCTGTATGAAGCTTCAAGTCACTTTTTGAGCAGCTGACCATTTTCAAAGCCTTCACAAGAGAAAAATGAAAGCTACAACAAGTAAAAAGCATAAATGTTTCTATAGAAACATTGTCTTCCCTTAGTGTTTTTCTACAAAGGGATATTTTCTCTGGAGTTTCTAGATCTCTGTTCCTGTCTCTTAATTTCTTCAAAACTTGTAATAATGTTGACTTCTCTAGTAAAGGTGATTTGCAAGATAGCAGCAATAGTTTTTATCTGTTCACAATATAACTTTGTTCTCCAGAGTCCAATGGTTTAGCTCCTGTAATTAAAAGTTTGACTAGTGGAAGGGAGAACAGTGAAGAGTAAGGGAAAAGATAGTAAAACAAAAGGCAGAAAACCAAGGTGCTTAACTAGAGTTCTTAGCTGGTTGTGTGCCCAGCTCTTGTCGTGTGTGGGTACACTGGGCACTACAGTGGTACTAAGTCCTTAAGAGCTGGGTGTAGAAGTGCCTTTCTATGCATTTGTGCAGAGAAGTCCTGCTCTTACATGGGAGGACAGGCTTCAGTTCAGAAGGCAGTGACAGATGTTGACTTTTGAACACACTGAGAGGGTGAAGGAGGATACACGTCTTGCTGAAAGAGATGCATCAGGAGTCTGACAGCCAAATGCAACACCTTTGGGTTTTACGTTGTGACGGAGGGTTTAATTGTTTTGTTTAAAATGTGGCAAAAGACACCTGACGGGAGTCTTGTTTTTAAACTAACACATGTATTTGGGTCCTTCCCTGTTCAAAATGCCAGCGAGCTGCTGTGATGCCTCTGCAGCCATGGGTTTTTATACAGATTGGAGAGACTGTCTTCCTAGTTTTCTGGATGAACACCAGTATCATCTGCCACATGTACTTGAAAGGTTACAGCCCTGGCATGGGAAAAACTGTTACTTAGTCAGAATACTGAAGGTATTAGTAGGTAATAGAGGTTTAAAGAGTGAAGTGCAGGAAAGTGTGAAATGTGCATTCAAGGTAGTGCAGAAAGAATGGCACTGAGAAAGGGCATATGCTGGAAAGGGAAGAGAATTGATTGTAGCAATAAGAAACAATCTCATAGGCTTCTTCAGGACAAGTATTCAGGCACTGAATTCAGCATTAGTTTATACTGCTCAACCGAAGAGGACCAGGGGATGACCTTGAACTGAACTTCTGCATGTCTATGCTACTTAATTGTTGCTGCACTCCTAAGCTGTGCTTTGAACTGCCTTCAGCAGCTTTTGATATATAATATCGTAGCCCAAGTCATAATAAAGTTAGTGTGATGGTAAGGAGATGAAGACTGTCTAATAGTGTTGAATGGTTTTTTTGTGGAGTTTTTTTTTTGGTTCTGCAGTATAATTTTACTGATACTTGTCTCACAATTTATATTGTTTAATTGGTTTTATTTTTATAATGTTTAAAACATATAGGTGTTTATAATGCATTTCTGTGGTAGCTTTTCAATGATAGCATTGCAGATATTTGCTTAATGTTTGAAATGCTAATTACAGGTAAAGCTCCAACACAACATTTTTATGGTACTCCTTATCCTTTAATTGGTAAAGCATACAGAGATAAGATAATGGTGCGAAGTATGCATTGAAATTTACTTAAATGGCTACTAATCTGGATTTTGTGGCAGTTGAAAGACCTTAGGTACACAGTTGATACTTAATCTTTATACTTCTGGAATTACTTGCACTAGCTGGCTTGCTTTAGTTTAAGTTGGAATGGTTTGACTGACTATGTGTAAAACTAACTTTTATGTGTTTCTGGTGTGTTTCAGGGGAAGGTCCACCTTGAGCTGAGACTGAGTGAAGTAATAACAGACACCGGTGTCGTCTGCCATAAACTTGCAACACGGTAGGATTTGAAAAGTAACTGCAGAGTTATGAGAAACACACAGATTACAAAGAGTGTGCAGTGCTTCATTTAAAAATAGTTGGAGTAAACAAAATATTGATTTGGATATTGAATGTTCTTAATCAGCAATATCCTTATGAATTCATGGGATGCGAGATTTTTTTTATTTTCTCCTTCTTTCCACACTATCATTTTCTTCCTAATAGCTTTAAATGTTAATCTTTTATCCAATTTAGTCATAGCATAAATACTAAAAGGACATCAAAGGGTAATAAAATAATGTCCTTGTAATTTGCATCAAGGACCAGTTAAGCAATTTGTATCACAGCTAGTGTGCTGACAGTGTGTTACAGAGTTGACTTAACAAACAAGTCTGCCATCAGTTTTTAAAGCGGCCTCAGAACCAGCCATCCAACCTTATTCAAGTTGAAACATAAATGCCACAGGACTCAGATGGGAGTAAAGATTTGGCTGTCCTCTGAATAGGAGTCTGGAAGACCATTGCCCTCTGACCACACCAAACACTTTCAGGTGGCTACTTCAGAAGCAGTGGTAGATCTGGTTGGCTTCTGGCAGGTCCTACCAGAGCTGTGGAGTAGGTACATTTGAATTCTTTCTCTCTGCGGTCTGCTGTGAAGAGGCAGAGTGAATAACGGGGATAGTCTGCTGCAAGTTGCTTTGTAGGCTGTGAGTTCCAGTGAACTTGTTAACTAGCTGCTGTATCTCAGAATAAAAATGGCTATCTCAGTATAGCTTTGCACCACCTGGAGGGCCCAGCCTTCCTCTAACTGCTATATAACAACTCGTTATGTTGTTTCCCATTGCACAGTTTGAGTATGACCAAATGATGACCACATGTTCTGAGAAACCAGACCCCAAACTTGTATCTGCCAAGCCCTAGGCTGGTGTCTTTTGTTGAAATGTTGTTTGTATTGCTGTAGGTTCCTAGGACTTTTCAGAAGAGGGAGAAATAGAAGGTGGGAAAAGGCAGTTTCTTGCCTTTCTACTCCAGTGTGTGTCTGTTGTCCACATGTGCATGTGGACTTATCACCAAGCTTGGATTGTCCTCAGAGCAGGCCTGGAGGATACTGTGCTTAGAGAAGTTATACTGAATGCCAGGTTGGGTGATGTTTTTGCTTTGGTCTTACTGGAGATATGTTTTGCCCTCCTTAGAGGTGTGATACAGCCACAAAGGGCTCTGTCCATGTCTTTTGAACCCCGGTTGTGTGTTAAGACCCTGTGGTGTCTGTAGCTCTGCAAACATATATTAACTCAAACATCTTTCCACTCTCACCATGTTCTATTTTGAATAGTTAGGTGGTATACAGCAGGGCCTTCAGAAGTGTTTGCCTTTGTTTTGTTCCAAGAGCGTGTGTCGTGCCCCAGCCAGTTTTCTTTTAAGGGCTTTGTCTTCTGTTAAGAGAAACCTGGTAACATTACAGTACCAATGGATTTTTCAGTGAAAGTCCTGAAGTGCTAGAAATAGGTGTCTGAAAATGTCCTGCTATATATGTGATACATGCAGCTTCTTGCTTGTGGAAAGCAATTGAGAGAGTGACTACTTTGTTTTTTTAACAGTGTGGCAGTGTGCAGCATGTTTTTCTACCTGTCTGTTCTTTTAGCCAGACAGGTTTTAAGTCTTTATTCAAATTTTTGCCTATATGGCAATGATTTGAAGACTATTCCAATAAATTTTTACAATGCAGAGAAAAAACTTAGATTGGTTTGCAAAGCATTTTGTAACCGTGATTTGCAAGGTATTGTTCAGTAAATACAGTTTATTAGGCTGCAATGTGCAAAAAAAGCCTAAGGTTTCAACCACTGAATCATAATGAGCCCTGGGCTCTTGAAAACAAAATTTGAAAATCAGAGCTCAAGCAAGCTTTTGTCTGCTGATACTAACTTTTCCCTTTTTCACCTTCTCTCCTGTATCTGACCTGGGCACTCGGTTTGCCTTTGGCTAGTTTCCATATTTATTTGTTGTTTGAGTGGTGAGAGTAGAGCTTAGCACTTTAGATAAAGAAATAAGGGAGGAAAAACTGTTTCTGGAGTATGCAGTTCCATTGGTGAAGGTCTTCATGGCAATCTCTCATATGTGTGATTAAGAAAAAGGGAATCATGAAGGGAAATGAGAAAGGGGAATGATTACATGAAGGGGGAAAAAGCACTTCATTATGTAGTCCACCTTTTTCTTCATGCCACACTGATTGCTTTAGGAAGGTGTAGAGCAAACTGCAGTTCTTAACATTTTTCCACATTATCTGAAATCTCCTTCAGGTTTGTTCATAGTTAGTTTGGTTCTAATGCTTAGGCATGTAAGAAAAGAGTGTGGTAATTAAGCAATGCTCAGCTAAATGTCTGTGTAGCTGGAATTTGCCAGTGGGGAAAGCAGCAAAGGCAGGGGAGGAAGAACCTTTGTTATAGGTAGGTCATGAGTGAAAAGCAGAGACTTGGGTGTATTAGGAAAGTGCAGCTTCCAGTTGAGTATTGTGAAAATAACTGATTTTCTTGTGCACAGCTTATGAAGTTGTTACAGTGAGCAAGTAAGACAAGGCTGTGAAACCATGAGCGAGAACCTAGAATCACCTAATCTTAAAACAAGACTCTTCTGATGAATCTAAGGCCTGTAAAAAAAACCAAACAAAAAACAAACTTTTTTTTAATGAAGCGTTTAGCTGCAGAGATAAACACTGTCCTGCAAATGATGTCACAGATATAACTAGTCAAACCGTTCAGGTTTGCAAGGAGAACAAAAGCTGCTTCCAGTAGCTAGCTGTTTAAAAATACCTTAGAGACACCCGCCTTTTTTAAGCCCCAGAACAGTGCTTGTTTTCAAAGACCACATATATAGGCTGAATGAAGACTAGACCTATTAGGAAACTTTTTTACCTCTCCAGAAAATAAATAAATATCAGTTTTCTTATGAGCTTACCTATAGGTTTTTGTCTCTGAGCCTGTTCCCATGCCACCTCTGCATTCCAGAAAGCCTTGAAAGCGGCTAGGGCATTGCTGAGCCGGCCTGCAGTCCCATGGAGCACACCATGAACAGTCAGCTGGATGAATGGATGGAAAAATTCATCTGAATGGAAGGTCGAATTGAAATTAAGTGCTGAGCTCTTGAACATCACGTCGTTGATTATTTTAAAATGCAAAAGTCATGTCTGCTTCCTTAGCCCCTGCAGAGGAAGCAAAACAATCAGTTTAAAAACTGTTACCTAATAGCTTCTCCTTAGGAATCATTCGATACTTTCATTTAGTCTTAAACCACTAAGCTGTTGTGCTTCATCAAAGCTCTTCAGAGACCCTAGTCTCTGCCAGCTGCTACAGCACAATCTCCTGGACCGAATCCCTGCAAAACAGATTACAAGGAGAAGCATTAGTGGATTTACAAGTTACATTGACAGTACAGATGTAGGCACCACACTCAAACTGCTTGTGTCCCCCACCGACTTCTGCTGTCTTCCTCTATAAGAACCACAACTCGCACTTGAATGTTGCTTCTGGAAACAGTTTGCTGCTTGTGGGCTCCCTCTGTGGAACTGGTGCAAGACCTGGTGGTCCTAGTGGCTGGCTTGGGCACATTTGTCAGCTGAGTCCTCATAAATCCCTCATATCCCTGTTACAGGACTTGGAATGCAGGCTCTTGATGTGTATGTTCACATCATACAGAGAGAGCAGACTTAGAGCCTGCTGAGCACAGACCTTGCCTCAGTGTGTGTCTGATAAAAGACAATATGCATGGACTTCGTGGCCTGGCACCTTCCTGTAACTGCATTTGCATTAAATCCCCTTGTGCTGTGTAGTGAATCACCTTGAGTGTTAGGAAAAAAGAAAGTCTTAGTACATTCTGGCTTCTCCCCTCTCTATCCTTCACAGGGATAGAGAGGGGAGCCGCAGCCGCCTTGGCCCTCTGCACACTCAGCTGCTGCTTGTTGTGACTACCAACATCTGGCCTTACCATTGGCAGTAAAGGCCACCTCCTGTTTGTCAAGGGGTTTGTCACCTGCCAGAAATCAATCTGTAGTTTTATGAACATTTTTAAGATACTGAGGCCATGGAAAGAAGTGGTCAGGACTTTTCCATGCTTCCTGCTGCTTGTGTCCATACACACCCCTTTGTGCTGACACACAGCTCCTGGCAGCTGCTCGAGCAATGGTGTATTTTATTTTTTTTTCCCTTGTGCTTCTTAAGCTGAAATATGCCTTAATCTTGTGTATCGTAGAAACTGCACTTTTCTTTTTCTGTAATGCAGAGAAAGGAAAATGAGCAGCAGGGACCAGGGAAAGATGCTCTTTCTGCAGCCGTGCTAGCTTGAAGTGTTTGAATTAAGTCATGAACAGTGTGCGTACCCATATTCCGTGAATACATCTGAAAAACAATGGTATGTACTTCTCCCTAAATTTTTTATGAGCCACTTCTTTCCATATGCAAGATAGCCTTCCTGCTTCACAACAGAAGGAAACTTTACTTTCTGTAAACCTTTGCTCACCATCATTAGAGCAGTTTCTGTGCAGAATATTTGTGTTCAGCACAGAAAGGGGGTTCCCCAGAGGCTTTGAGGCCTCTTGGCTGTCCAGACAACTTTCTCTCATCTGTCAGAGCAACAGGAACAGCAGATATATGCATTTGTATTTATTTAATAAAGAGGAGGGCTCCTGCAGATAGCTTTATAGGAATCCATAGACTTCACTGTGGTTAAGTGACTAGAGGCAACATTTAGAAGTAGTGTTCTGTATTTAGCAAGATGACATCTTGCAGCATGCCTGAAGGAACAGGCCACTGAACTCCTGTTGAAAGTCAGAGTGAGCTGGAAGCCTGGCTCCCTGATCATCCTTTGAGAATTCCAGCATGTGTATGTAATTAGTCACATTTAAATGTCTGTATTTTTATTCAGTGTCCCCAGCTGCTCCTGCAAGTGTTGTCTTATGTCTTGTGTCTTAGTTTTAAAAAAACTTGTAAACATCTGCTTTGGAGAGCTCTCCCCTCCCCCCACTTGTTTT